ACAATAATACTTCTCTCTTGGCTGGATTTGGGTCTCAATAATGTTGCTATTATATCAAGATAGAATGAACAAGCAGTTTACATAAACAAAGATGAAAAGATAAGCTCCTTGGTGCTGTACCATCTTATATACTGTACTTTACTACAACTATAAAACTATTCTCACATTTATTTCCTCTCTTTCTTCAGTCAGGCTTTACTTTCACTACACCCTGTGCCGTATGAAGCCTCACATATCAGAAGATCACAAAGTAAAGAAAACTCACAAAGTGAAACTTTGCAGCTCTTTGGTATGTTTTTCAACCTTTCAAAAGAAGAAGACATTTCAAGGCTTGAAAGGGAATGAAAAGATTCACGCTTCAAAGGCAATTAGTCTTTAATTTATATCCATAAAACAAATAATTTAAAAACATTCAAGCTGCTTCAATTATTCATCTCAAAATTTAGAAGAAAAGAGACAGAGAGAAAGAAACTGTGACAGATAAAATTAGATAAGCAGACCCTCCATTTCTCAATGTTTGCGGATATAAATTGGTTTCCTATGAGTTACAAACGCTTTGTAATATTTTGGGGAAAAATTTGGCTTAACTGTACTCCTTGAAATTTCCCATAACTTTTAAATCCTGTACACGCAAAACTGAATCATGATTATCATCTGAATGTCAATCTTCAGGCTGGTGAAACAGCCATGGGACCTACTTTCTAGTAGGAGGTCAGAAGAAAGCTGTTATTTTCTACATCTTATTTATTAATCATTATCTGATATATTTATATGTTTTCCACTTTTAGCAATCCTTCAGAATCAACAATCATTTGTTTCTGTCTAGACAACTTGGTCTTTAATGTCTTCAATGCCAGTCACTGTTTATACCTATATACTAAACATCTACATGCTAATTCCACTAACATCTGCCCTGTAAATGGAACGGTTCATTTCATTAACATCCTAATGTTATTTGGACACACAATACAATCAATATCAATAAAAGTTCAAACAGGCGACTGGTGGTCTGCAGCAGTCAGTAAGGTTCAACATCTTCTTCTAAATCATTCAAAATTACATATGAACCACACACAAGGATGGTAAAAAAGCTCATTCTGTTTCATTTTAAGGACAACATAGACCATAAAATCTTCACTGCAGATAAACCAGGTTTGATGGATGCAAAGTTTTCTAACATCACACGATAGACTGACTTTAAAAAGCTTTCCACATAACAATAAAAGAGTGACAGTATTTAGTGAAATTGTTTGAGGAGGACTCATTAATGACAGAATCATTTTGAAGAAAGTTTAACACAGGCCAGCTGACAGTTCCAAACAGAGAGGCTTAGAACGGGCACTGCAGTCATTTTAAAACCAGCCCTCACATCAGCAAGATAAACGTTTTGCACATTACGGTCACATTTGTAGACCTGCCTGTTATAGCATCATATGTGTAGTAAGAGGATCTTACCAGTTCACTCTGGAGTCGGAGAATCAGCTCGTCTTTCTCCCTCAGTTGTTGCAACAAGGCCTCCTCTCTGCCAGGATCCTAAACACAAGCAATACGCAGTGTCACGCATCAGTCAGGACACTGCAGCCAGTCGAGATTTATCACAGAGACCATCACAAGGCTGTTTGAGTGTGTATGTGATTCCCTGGATGTTTCCATAATCATTTATGTGTTTTTAAGTGTTTTATGTGCATTCATGAGTGTATATGTCACTGATCATTCTGTGACATGTGTTTGCATGTGTGTGTGT